AGCTCTACAGACACTCTTGGAACAAATACCAGAGAGCCAAAAGGAAAGGCAGAGTCTGGAGACTGTCAGAGAGAATCAACTATGAAAGGGGTTTCATTTTATATGATTTTCAGAGAAGCCTCCAAAATAAGTGTATTTCTATGTAGCTTCCTTTAAAATGTGCATAACTGACATTTATCTAAAGATTCTTAGTTGCTAACATACTGTCTTCCCCCAGATTTTTTTTAAAGCTGCTTTTTCCCCCTGGAGAATCTAGGAATAGCCTCTTTTCACAGAGAAACAAAGAGTAAGTTTTATGTCTCTCAATCCATCTTTTCCTGAATAAAGAAATCACTTGACACTTGCAAAATAGCAGGTTTTGTTTTAGAGTTTTAATAATGAATGTTTTCAAACCAGGACTGTTGAATTGAGCCCAAGATAAGATATCCAAATTCTATTATAAGCCTAGCCTGTCTAGCTATAAAACCACAATAAGTTTCCTACCTGCTCTATACCCCTCCTTTCTGTCCTCAAAATGAACATCAAAGCTCCTATTCTTTCTACTTTTAGTGGGTACGTGAATTAAATGGATAAAATCTGAAGTGCTGAAAATTACATTGTATTCCTCAGAGATGCAATACAGATAATGCCTTATTATAGTACTTGGTGTTATCAAAACAATTAAATATTAATATCTGAAAGATAAGTTTAAAGAGCTTTGCAAAGATTTTCTTCCTCCCTTTTTAAGTCCCCTACAAAACTGTCTGCAGGCTAGGGATTTAGCTCAGTGGTTCCACTTCCCACCCCTCAAGTGAAAGGTCCAGAGTTCGATCCCCTCATACCAAAAAACAAAAAAACAAAAAAAAAAAATGACTACAGCCCCCAAGATAAGTCTTAACTGAAATATTTCCTACTCTAGCCACAAGAAGCCCTCTCCTAGTAATTCAAACCATGGCAAAGACCCCATGGTCCTTTTTATTTATATCACTTTCTGACAGAAAACACAGATCACCTATGTCAAATCTCCATAGCTAACTATAGGGTAGCAAACAAACCAGCAAAACCTGGCTTTCTCTGTGTGACCACTGAAGCATGATGAACACTAAATAGTTTCTGTAAACCACACAGTGCAGCATTTTGCATCCTGGCCTCCTTCCAGATTTTCACAGTAATTCCTTTTTGTCACCTTGCCCAGTCTTGTTCAGTATTTATGCTTCTTCCCTATTTACTTGTTTCCTTTTCATACTTTCAAACTTGAAAGCTTTGGCTTTCATTTCTCTTGCAAGCAAACAAAGGTTACAAGTAGAAAAAATGGGGAAAAATAGAGAAAAGAGGGAGAACAAATCAAGGCTATTCATAGAAATCATCCCAAGGTAATCAAAAGTGTGTTTTAGGTTCTGAGTATCAGGGATATTCCTGGACGAAGTCATTCAGCTGCATGTCCTGAGAACCTCTTGATATGGATCCATGTGTTAGCAGCCAGCAAGATTAGAGGCAGGGAAGGAAAGTTCCAAAGAAGAAGATAATTGTATCACTATCAATAGCCTCTCAGAAAATAAACCCTCCAGCATGCATTCAGTTGTTAATCAGAAAGGAATAGTTTCTTTTTGTCATTAAAATCCCTTAAGAATAAAAATAGCGTTAGTATGAATCATAATCCTATCTTATCCTATAAATGATACATCAAAATACTGGAGATTTCAGATTTGGGCTTTTAAAAATGTAATTTTCTGAGTAGCTATAATACCTTTTAAATCTAAGGAGAATTCCTGTTTGTGATCATTAAAATTATTTTATCCAAATAATGTGATAAATATCTCTGGCACCTTGTTGGGTATTTCAGGTCTAAGTGAATCTGCTCCTGCTTCTAATATTTTAGGTACTATAACAGAAAGATTTTTCTCACTGTCCCTTCCCATCCATTCTTACATTACCTGCTAACCAATTCCCCTGCTTCACTGAAAGAATAAAAGCCATCCAGGGAGATGTCCCACATCTTCCCATCATCAGATCCACAAACCACAAGCATGGAGCCCCTGTCTTCTCTGCCATCCCTCCTATAACAATGTAAGAAATACCCTTGCTCCTGTCAAAGGCTATTCCTCTTCTATTCTGGATCCCTTCTTGACCCACCTTCTCAAGGACTCCACTCCTTCTTTGCCATCTCAAGTACTGTTATCAACACTTCTCTAATGACCAATGCAAAACTAAGCTACAGGACCTCCACCTAAATGACAGCAATCAAACAGGAGCTGTGGGTGTGGCTCAGTGACAGAGTGCATGCTTAGCGTGAGCAGGAAGAATTAATTCTTTAGCTCATGTTATTCTCCTGCTTAAAATCATCCAGTGGTTTCCTATTACTCATAGCAGAAACAAATTTAAAATTTTAAACTTCTTTACCAAATCTACAAGATTCTGCATGATCTGGCAACTGTCAACCTCTTCCACCTTGACTTACAATACTCTCCCTTCTAATTCATTGACTCCAGTTACACTTTCTGGTCATAAAGTACTCAATAGTATTTCTCACGGCAACTGCACTAGCTATTCCTCTGCCTAAAACCACTTGTTCCCAGTTATGTACATGTCTGGCTCATTCTCATTGTTGCTGTAATCCTTCACCTACTCAGGGAGATATTTCCTAATTACTCTACCTCACTGCTCCCTGCCTCCAGTGACTTATCATAAACTGACATAGTTTTTTTATTTCTTTACATGTCTTCACTACTAGAATTAAAAACTAGAGATAGTGGCATTGTTCACAACTTCATGACATATACAAATTAACTATAATATAAGGTAAATCACCAGGACTTAATTGGAATTCAGGGCAGGAAGAGAAAGCTCTAGGAGGGGGTAATCAAAGAAAATTTCGTGGAGGAAGGTACATTTGCACTGATGCAGAAACAAAAGATATCAGCATCATAGGAGAACAATGTTCTATTAATTTTATTTGTCCAATATTCTTCAAATCTATGCCTTATCTCCATCCATTTACAGTTGCTACCCTGGTACAAACTACATCTTTGTCATGCTTGTTGTGATTATATTTACTATCTAACTTCTCCCTCTTCCTTTATTTCATTTTATGTAAATCTAAGTATAGCATTTAAATGCTAGTCAGAGTGTATATATTACTTAAATGTTTACATTTCAATGTAACTATTTCAGAACAAACTACTGAAGTTGATTCATTAATTTAATTGTCCTGGTGATAATAGAAAGGATAAAATGCATGTTTTCCCATTAATTTTTCTCATTCAATTTTCTCAAGGTGCTATGCCTTAACTTTGGCAACTCATCTTGCTGTTAGTCAATAACCTTAACAAGCACATAATTATAGTCAATTATATCTGTTTTCAGTTCATTTATTACTTTGTTACTTCTTTTTCCAACTTGTAAATGAAATTCCCAGCACATGCATTCTAAAAGATATTTTGATTAATTAACCACCCTATCAATACCTTGAATATATTAATAAACCACAGCATCTTATACTGATGGTTCAAAATCCAACTTGCTCATGTAGCTTTGAAAATCACACTCATTTTCAGAGACACAGAACACCTAGAATAAAATTAATATTTATTGTCATTGAAGCTTCTTATTTCAAATTGCACAAACAGAAATGTGGAATATTACCTCTAAAGTATTACCATACTTAACTTTTGATAAAATTTCTAAGTATTAGAGAAACCATCATGTCTTTTAATACTAATTTCAAAAGACTTATCTCTTGTCTTAAGGAAACAAAGACAAAAGATTTCCTAGTTGTACAAATATAAAGCAAGACTACCTAAATGTGATGAAGAAAATGACTGTAGTTGTTTCACATACAGAAAATGGATGAATTATATCTCTGCAGAGTTTTACTGTTTCTTAAAGAAAACTATTTATTTTCCCTATACATACTTACCTGGTCCTCCAACCTATCAGAATTTATACCCTTTTTTATAAAAAAATTATTTTCCAATGATCTTTTTTAATATCCTGAAATGAAAATGACAGTTACTACCTACATTCTGAATATCTATACTGAAAACATATCATATGTACATAGTTTGTACCTCATTTTGCAAATGAGCAGACCCACTTATAAGACCTAAAACAGTCATTTTTCCCCTTAGGTATTGAATCAGTCTGAATATGACAGGTATGACTGTAAGATGCATTATCAATTCATATACCATTACCAGCACTATACTAGTGATAAAATTTTTCTGAAATGGTGAACAACTCTATACAATATAGACCAAGAAAAAAATAATCTTCCTTTGATATAATCAAATGGCTCTATTCCTAGAAATTCAGGTTATATTAAAACTGAACAGGAGCCAGGGATTTAGCTCAGTGGTTCCACCGCCTGCCTCACAAGCACAAGGACCCAAGTTCGATCCCCAGTACCAAAAAAAAAAAAAAAAAAAAAAAAAAAAAAAAAACTGAGCAAAAAGAAATCTGTGTTTATAAGTAGATCAAGAGTTAGTTCCTAACACAAATGGTGCTACCCTGGCTCACTGGGGTAATTTCCCTCCCTTATAATTTTATTATTTATTTATTTTTGGTGTTTTGAGACAGAGGCTGTATAGTTCAGGCTGGCCTTGAACTCACTATGAAGCCTAGGCTGGCCTTGAATTTGAGGTAACCCTTCTGCCTCAGCCTCCCAAGTTCTGGGATTACAGACATGTGCCACCATGCCAGGCTGATCCTATGTTTTTAGCCACTCTTTTTTTTTTTTTTCTCAGCTTTTACTTACGACCTTATCTAAATGTACTTTTACAAAGTTTTCCTTATATGTCAGCCTATCTTATCTTATACGCCTGTAGACTGCTGGCCTATGCTAAGGGAAAGATAGCCTTAGTGTTTTCTTTCACCCTTTCCACTTACGTGCTGAGAAGTATTACAAAGCAGATTCCATGTCGACAGAAGCGTACCTGAGGATTTCTATTTAAGGAAGTGTGTTTTCTTTTTGCATGAAGACATAAGAGAAAGGCAGTAAAATTCATATTACGACCCTGGTTTACCTGCGTTTCTGTAAACACAGTCACATTTCATTGAAATGGAGGTCTGCCACTGCAGGATGAAGAGGAGTTTTGATGTTTGTTGGTGAGTAAGCGCAGGTCCAGAGCTGGTCTTGACGGTGGCTCCAGGTGTGTGCTGCCAGGACAGCCGCCTGAAGCTGTTGGAGCACCTGTGATATGGCCTATCCCAGTTGGGATGTGCTGCAAAATATACACGCGATATTTAAGACTCTGTATGAAAGAACCTAAAATACCTCACTAGTAATCTTATTTCTCTCTGGTGGAGAAACAGGAGAGTTGGAGCAGGTCCTGCCCTGCAGCCCTTTGCAGCTAGAACTTACTTTCTGCTGTTTTGGCCTGAGATGCCCACGAAAGAGTTCCAAGGAGGCGAGAGGAGGTTCTGTGTGAGCGGCGGCCAAGCACCCGGCTCACGTGGCGGAAGTGACGCACTCCGGATGCTGAGCAGAGGAAGGCCTACTGTCCTTAGCGGTGTGGGGACGTGGACACATGGGAAGTATGCACACAAAAAGGAAACCTGTGATTCTCAAGAGGAAAGCACTCTTCCTCACCAAAATGGCTCATTCTGCAGTCACCAATTTGAAAAATCTCTAAGAGTTGCAGGGATCATGTCGCTGGGATCCCACCCGAGCCTCGGGATCACAGCGACGTGTTCTGCAGGGGCCATGTGTGGTGTTGGCCCTGCCACACAGTGGAGGGTGTGAACTTCACTTGTCTTGAACGGATCATCACAGTGCTTTGTAATCACTTTGTGCCGTGTTTGCCGGTGCTGCCTGTGTCCTCTGGGGTGGAAGGCAGAGAACTCTGAAAGCAGCAAGATTGTGACGCCTGCCAGGCACATGAGGCCCCGGGTGACATCAGTGCAGAGAGTGCACAGATGGGTGGTGGACGGACAGTCAGCATCCTGTCAAACTCGTACTTCATTAACGTTTGACTGCATTCACACAGCTTCAGTTCCCTCTCCTTGGGTGGAACGCCGCCAAGGCCAAGACCCGTGTGGTGTAGCCCAGAGACATCCTGTTCCTGTTGTTCCCTGTGAACCAGCAGTGTCTGCTGCCACCTTGTTTGCCTTGAGATCAGCTTTAGGAACACCTGGAGTGGTTAGGAGGTTGCGTTTTATCCAAATGTAAAGAATTCCCAGAAACAAAAGTCCCATTGAGTCATGGACTGAAGAGAAGGCCAACGATCAAATTCAGTTGTACCACCTGGGTGCAGTCTCTGTTTTCTTACAATGCGGGAAGTCCGTGGCATACTTTTGAACAGGCGTTTGTGTGGCCAGAGTCCACAAAGGAGAAGACTTGACTGGCCAGTAGAGGAGGCTGTTAGAAGGATAGTTTAAGGTTAGAACAGCTGGAGCAAAAGGCAGTGAGAGATGTGTCTGCTTCAAGTAACAAAAGAGCATAGTGTGCTTGCTGTCCTTTGAGTAGAGGCACCAGGCCACCCTCACAAGCCTGCTGTCCAGAGCCTGAATGTCGCTAATGTGTGGTGACAGAACCCTCAATAGTTCCTCTGTACAAGGATATTGAGGATAACAGGGCAGTTCCCTAAAAACTGTAAGGGACATATCCTTGTGATGCTGAAGGAGATCCAGCCCCAGGAGCCAAGAAGGAAAACAGCCACTCCTAAAATGAAATTATTCTTTAATACCACTTCATTATGTGGAAATTGTACCCATTACTAAAGAATTATCCAACAATTCTTATTTCATATTACTGGTTGAAATAATATTTTGCATATATCATTTGCATAATAAGATATTGCTAAAATTATAAAAAGTCATTATATATATTTTGAAAAAATAAGTTCCTAGACTTTGAAATTTATAAACAAGGCATACATGAATGTCCACCAAGATAATTAAAGTTGAATGGGGTGTAAGACAATTCTTAATTTTAAAGCAGAATTCCATACATATCAAACCCTCTAAGTTCTTTGGCATGACAAAGACTCTGGTCAAACTAGTCAAATTTCTAAACCTTTTCCTAGGCCCATCTGTGCACTTTCTTGTAAAATCCAGTTTCAGCAAAGAATCCTGCTAAAGTCAGTTTATCAAGAACACACACACACACACACACACACACACACACACATTTACACAAAATATCTGATCGAATTTCTCCTCTGATCAGGGTTCTATTCTCCCCCATACCCCAGGTGTCTTCAGCAAGAACGGTGTTAGGTTGCCTTAGCCAGAATCCCCTATATCTCTAATGCTTCCTCTTGGTAATTTTCCACCCACTGATTCCTACTTTGCTGACTTTACTATAAATTCCCACTTGCCTTTGCTACAGTAGGCATTTAGCCCACTCTCTTTCCCCAACTACAAGATTCCTCTGTAATCTCTGTATACTTATAGCAATGATCTGAAATATAGTCTTCTTTAGCATTTCTTAACAAGTATTATTTAATAGTTTTTTTTTTTTAACAATCCCAGGCCAATTCAATGTCAGGTTTACCTTGAAACTGTGACAACCAAAACTGTCCCAAGGTAGAAAGGGAGAAAGGGGACTTGAAAAACCACTTCATGTTTACAAAAGCCCCAAAGCTGAAATGGAAAGGGGGACAGGGTGAGAGAAGAAAGGTATGGGGAAAGGGAGGAAGAAAAGTCCTAACAGCTGGCATAGCACAAGCTGGAATGGATCACTGAAGTCTCAAACATGGTGTTAAGAGCAGAATCAGAGTAGGAAATGCACTGATGACAAATATACAATTTTCTAGAGATGGGGGCAGTACCCATATGATAACACCATAACTGATCAGAAAATAAAGTTTCTCCTAAAGAGAATGGATATCTCCATTGCTATTTATTATAAAGAAGAATTGATTCTATATTGGAATGAGAATGCTTTTAGCCTAAAAGAGGGGAACGTCCTTTTTCTCTCTGAAGTCCTGTGGTTTCAGAATGCATCTGTGTTGCCTCTATCCTTTCTCTTTCTGTGAACTCTAGTTAAAATATGCTGTGGGGAATTCAGGAAAAGATCCATGTCCTGGCTGAAATGAAATAATGAGTGGGAACACAGGAGCAAAAAAAGCAGCCAGGAAGCAGCAGGATGAGTCCCCACAGCAGAGGAATATGATGGACCTCTTCCTAAGCACCACTGAGAGAGCTCTGGAGCTGACTCATAAGAAACACTTTAAGTAGCTAGTCTCTAGCACTTAAGTCTAGACTTACTTATGAATTAGAATGTGACCTTATTTTAAAAGAATATGTAGGGCTGGGGATTTAGCTCAGCGGTTCGGTGGCCTGCCTTGCAAGCACAAGGACCCGAGTTCAATCCCCAGTACCAAAAAAAAAAAAAAAAAAAAAAAAAAAACTAGTGAGATCCTGTCTCACACACACACAAAAGAATATGTGGCCTTATTTCATAAACCAGAAGTTGAGTCACAGACATTTGACTGCACATAGTTGAGTCTTCAGTAAATATTGTTAATCATGTTAACTACTAGTAAATGATTTGCAGTTCATATTGCATTTTAGGCAGTCTACACGTCAAATTTAGCATGAGCAAGTTCAAGAAAGAGAAGGAATAAGTAACAATAAGGGACCAAGCAAGAATAAAGCTAGAAAAATCCACCAAATGATGGGGCTGAACTCCCAAGACTCCTGGAAAGCAGCCTAACCAAAGTAGGTTGAGGATTCAGAGTATATAACAAACGTATTTAATTAGAACTGATTTCAGTGTCTAAAACTCAACTATCTTGTGAATGGGACACTGCAGTAGGAGTTTCCTTCCAGTGATGTTACTGTGTGTTAAATTATAGTGAGGCCATATTTCAGATAGTTTGGCAGGAAGCTGGCAAGATTGGCAGGGAATTAGAATTCCAGTCAAGTGCCTCTAGATTTCACCAGGGCACTTGAAAACTGGGACTATAATTTCAGATTCCATGTGCAGTGGCATATGCCTATAATCTCAGCAATTTGGGAAGCTGAGGCAGAAGGATTACAAATTTGAGGCCAATCTCGGCAAGCCAGCAAGGTCCTATCTCAAAATAAAATAATAAAAAAGGTTAGGGGATTTCTAGTACTGGAAAATGATCCAGATTCCAGCTAAATGGTACATATATTTAGGAACTGAGTCTGGCAGAAGCTGTACTTTGCTAACATTGGTATCTCCAGAGGTAAAAGTTTTGATATAGACATTCTTTACATAATGCTGGTGTTGCTTATATCTAGATACCCACCCCCCCTCAAAGCCCTATGTGCTCATAGGTGGAGTTTTCAGAGGTAGTTGGATGTAGAATGTGTGATATTAGGATTAAGGGTATATGGTATTGAATTAGTCCACTAATTGGTTTATCATAGTTCTGGTGTGGATAATGGGAAAGCCCACTCTGGGTGTGGGCGTCACCAGCCAAAAGGCTTGTAGCCTAGATGAGACAAGAGGGAAGGGAAGGCTCAATGCTTGCTGCCTTACTGCCTACTGCCTGCTCTGCTATGACTGTTTCTCCTCTGCAACACCTCTCTACCATGCCACCCTGCCTTGGAACTAGCTGACGATGGACTGAAACCCCTACAAACACTGAGCTGAAAGAAACTTTTCCTCCTTTAACTTGTGGGTGTCAGGTATTTTGTCTCAGCAACAAAGAAAGTAACTAAGACAGCTGGGTTAGTTCCCAAGCTATTCATGTAAATGCTTATAATATCCTGAGTTCTAGGATTCTTTTCATATATCCTTATGAATAAATAACTAACTACAATTAAACAGCTGAAAAAGCAGAATCTTTACTATACAGTGCCTTCATATGAGTAATGACTATATAGGTATGCTGATCTTTTTACATAAGAGTTTAAGTTTTTATAAGCAAAGTCAATTCATTTATCAAATATAGGATTTAATCATATGCAACCCAGGAATTTATGTCTCAGAAATCACACAACATCAACTAGGAATCAGAGATTGTAAAGTTCCTCTAAAAAGGACCTAGTTAATACCCCCAATTCAAAACTTTTTTGAAACTCAGTAGGTTAAAAACTAGACCATGACCCAAGAGCCTTTTAAATTGATTGCTGATTATGAGTTTAAATAAGTTAAAACTTCTATTAACAATCTCAATGGTTTCCTCTTATTTGGACACAAAATGAATATGTTACCTTAGAAACTAGTGCAACTACTAAGACTCTCATTTTTTAAATTCAATACTGGGGGTAAACATCTAACAGACTCTCAGACTACTCACTAGTTTGAGAATTGTTTAGAGAAATACTGATAAGGAAGGTAAGTGAAAGTAAGTATTAAAAGCATTAGAAGATTTTGTTATAGGGCTAGGGAAACTTGCTTTTTTTTCTAAAGGTGAGGCAAAACATCAATCATATTCATGTAGCTTTTGTCATCCTTAATCCCCCTTGAATTTTGGGGGGTTTTTTTGTTTTGTTTTTTAGACAGGGTCTCACTATGTAGTCAAGACTGACCTAGAACTCACTATGTAGCCCAGGCTGGTCTAGAACTCACAGGGATCCTCCTGCCTCAGCCTCCCGAGTGCTGAGATTACAGGTGTGCACCACTACTCCTGGCTTCCCCTGTGAACTTTTACAGAGAACTCAAAGGAAATCAAATACACAAACAATTCACACCTACTGATCTCAAAAGGGGAAAATAATATGATATTATTCCCAAAGGAACTCTCAATGCTGAAAAACTCTAATTAAAGATGTAGCTTGAGACTGTATTGATATTTTCTTTATTCCTTTACAAAATGGAAAGAAATCACAGCTAAGGCATAGAGTTATATAGCAAAAGCAGTAATAATTCTGGAAATGGTATCTAAAAGACACAAAAACATAATAATTAATTCCACAATATCATAAAAATAAATCACAATGGGAAGAGTAGGGGAAAGAATAAGGGAAAAGAAAAAAATATGAAAAAATGGAAATAAAGTGTTTGTAAATGGGGAGGGGAGGAGGGAGTGAAGGGAGGGCATGGACAAGGGGAAAAAAATGAGAACCCAGACCTGTCATGTAAAGGTACAAGATCCCAATAATGAATGTAATTGTACTGTAATCCGGAAATGTACCAATAAACTCAATAAAAGAAAAATAAATAAATAACTTCCTGCTTTCATAAATTAAGTTCATATTTGCAGATTTCCAGTATTAAATGGTAACTAAATGAATGAATATATTTGCTCACATATCTTAAATACTGATGAACGAGATTAAAATCTTTTCTGTGGGTTTCTTTTTTGTTTGTTTGTTGGGTTGGTGGGTTTTTGTCTTTCTTTCTTCAGACAGTATCTCATTACTTACGTAATTAAGGCTGGCCTCAAACTTGCTATATAGCCCAGGCTGGCCCAGAAATCTTACTCCTTC